AAAAAAAAAACAAAACAAAAATGCGGGTTTTAGTTTTTAAGTTTAAGCATAAATTTTTATTTCAAATAATTCCCTGTTTATATTTATTACAACATCATTATCATCACTGACAACATCACACCTCATATGTGGCATCAGCATGCACATTTCTTATTAGAGATCTAAGTTAATTTAGTAAAATCCATGTGTAGTTGTAGCAATTTATTATTTGTAGTTTTCAATATAGAGRAGAATATGTGAAACAAGTTTTTAATATATGTACACACATTTAAATACTTAAATTCGCTGGAGTCGGAATTTATTTTGATTTCACAATACAGGAAAATTGGAAGTTTCGATGATAAAACAAATATTTTTTATAAAAACAAAACACTTTAATAAATTTAACATTTTATGTATTTTTTTATTATGTTGTAATTACAAATGTATGTTAAAACTAATTATTGTCATTACAAAGGAAAATTATTATAATTTCTATGTTTTTAATTTTATATTTTCATAATATTAATTTATCTCACGGCGAGGACAAAAAATTTATTTATGAGAACTTTTTATGAAAACCATTTTTTTACAGTGTTAAAATTTTAGCACTTAAAGAAAGCTTAAAAATTATCAAAACATCAAAATTTCTATAAAAAAAAATGAATTCAAATTACATTTTTATGCTTTTGCTTTAGTTATTGCTTGTTCATGAATAGTTAGATGTAGGGTTACACATAGATACATAGTATATATAAATGATCAGGATGATGGGACAAGTTGATATTCGAGTAACTCTGTCTGTCCGTCTGACTGTGTGTGTAAACGATAAGTTGAGTAAAAATTCGTAGCCATTCGTTGCCACGCCTACAAAATTCTTTTAAACGAAAATCTTTAGAGTGTCCTAACTTAAGCATGAAATTAAGATAGAAAACTTTAATTTGACAGTAGCAAGAGGCACCTGAGGACCAAAAATTAAAAAAACAAAAAAACAACTTGGCTTCACCCCTTTCAGAGGTTTAATGTGCTTATCTCCTACACCACTTAATATAYAATATCCGAATTTGGTCAAGACAAATTGTTTAGGCTTGCGTCGACACTGTAAAAATGGATGAAATCGGGTGACAACACCATATAACTGTTCTGTTAAAACTACTAAAATTGCAATAAGTCAATAAATAAATATGTCAGAGATAAATATATATATGTATATAGAATTCAGGGTCAAAATTGGACGATGGGTGTGACTCAGTCCACATTTGGGTGAAAATCCATATCTCAGGTCCTACACCACCAATCTCAACCAAATTTAATGTATAATATTATCATGGTCAATTTCGCTACAACTCTGCCTACTTCCCAAATAAGACAATTTCGAATTCCATCTGATTCTTTCACTTTCCAATATGCAAATTAAGCACCTGAACAGTGCCTCTGAGGCAAAATCGGGTTGACTTTAGCAGAAGGTATTTTTTTTTTATTCTGAATATAAATTGAGCTCAAGTAGAAATACTTTTGTTTTGTAAGGTTAGAAACGATATTAATTGATTTTTTATATTTTTATGGGTAATATTCTGAATGAAAAACAATAACAGTATCAAAAAATCACTCGTTTAATAAAGGGAATATTTTTGGAAATGATTAAAAATCTTCTTAATTTCTCTTTAAAAAATGTCTTTACTTACTTCGAAGCATCCAAAACTAGCATCGTTTAAAATCGTTTTTAATGGACTTCTTAACTTCGAAAACCTTTTATTTTGCACAATTATTGTTGTTGATTTTTTAAGCCCCATAAAAATTATAATTAATTGCACCTGAAAAATATGTTTAATGGAAAATACAATTTTAAAATTTTTTTCAAAAA